TCTGAGAATGAAAATTCATTATAAACTTCAAAATTCCCATCAGCCTAAAAATAGGCTTCTACTCCCTTACCTTCTTCCCCATTGCACTGTTTGTATCACGATCCATCCTACAATTTGCAACATGATATATGGCCTCAGACCCCTACATTTCAAAATTTTTCACCTACCTACTATTCTTCCTAATCACCATACTCATCCTAATCATTGCCAATAATCTATTTGTCCTATTCATTGGCTTAGAAGGAGTCAGAATCATGTCCTTCCTACTAATCAGCTGATGGCATGGATGGGCAGAAGAGATGAGAATCTTGACTCCATATTTCAGAAGGCTGATTTATTATTTTATGATATATATTATATTAAAAGAAAATGATATGTCAAAACTATACTAAAAGAATAGAAGAAAGGATTTCATCAGAAGGCTAGCAAGGAATGAAAAGGAAGAATAGTAAAATCTTGTGACTGCTCACAGCCTCAGCACAGGTGGCTGTCACTGGTCACCTGAGCCCTTCCAACCCAAACCATTCAGTGATTCTGCTGCCCATCTGTTCCAAAGCCCTGTGGGCAGGTGGGAACCTCCTGTGCCGGGTGTGGCCAGCAGAGGGCACGAGGTGCAGGTGGAGCAGCCCTGGCTGTGCTCGGGAACAGGTCCGGGAGTGCTGCCCCGTGTGCCCGGCCCTGCTCTGTGTCACCTTGTGCCAGGGGAGAGGCCACGGTTAGCTGGGATGTTGGGGAAAAATTCTTCCCTGTGAGCGTGGTGAGGCCCTGGCATAGTGGGATCAGGGAGGGTGTCCCTGCCCATAGCCGGGGAGTGGAACTGGATGATTTTGCACCCAGCATGAAGACAGGTAACTGGGCTAGTGCTGCAGTTGTCCTTCTGCTGCAGAGTTCAAGGNGACACAGAGCACCTGTAATCCAGGCTGTAAGGATTTTGGGTCAAAGCTGCATTGGGACACCTCTGAGGAGAGCAGGACAGAGCAGACAGCACCGTGGAGTTTCAGAGCTGTTAGTTTTGACTCACATTGTCACATTTTACTGAGCAGGACAGAGCAATGGGGCTCATGTTACCAGTGCAGCTGGATTGATGGCTGAGCAAAGTGCCTGGGATGGGGCAGGGTCATGTTATAGGGGCCTCCTCAAGCCAGCTCTCATAAGCTCTCAGAGGCCTACAGCACATTGAAGATAGCTCAGCTACTTTTGGAGCCGTAAAAATCAGCAGGATGGCTTCTGTTGCAGTGTTGGAAACAAAAAAGTTTAATAAAAGGCAAAATAACAGAGAAAAACTGAGCTAGGTGCAGGAGGTCCTTTCTCCTTGTAAAACACCTTACAAAAGGGTTTAGTTTATTTGTTTACTTCTTTTTCTAGTAAATTGCCCAGGTGAGACTTTTTGGCTCCTTAAGTTTGAGATGAAGTCCCCCAGGCCTATGAGGTGCCTTTTTCACCTAATGGAGGAGAGAAACTTGTGGGCTTCTTTCCTTTTTGAGGGGACAGAGGAGAGTTTTGTCACTCTGTCAACAAAAGGCACACTCCTGTAGGGTGGGACAGCCTGTGGGAGAGCTGACCCCTCAGAGCCATGCTCAGACATCAGGGACTGTCACTGTCACTGGGATCTGCCAGCCCAGAGCATGCTCTGCTCATTTTCAAACTGTGCTTCTGCTTTCATGTTCTGCCTTGGTGCTCCTGAGCAGCCACACATATGGGCTGCAGACTTTAATGGGATGCCTTGATCTGGCTAGGGCACGTTCTCCTTCACAGATGTGACCTGAAACACACATGTATTGTTTCACTTGGATTGATGACCCCTCGGGAGCCAAAATGCTAATGGAGCCCAAACCAGACTTCAGTTAAAGATATAAACACAAACTCCATCTGCATTTAAATTCTGGGGAAAGGATCAATGTTAAGTGCAACCTAAAGAAAATCAAAACATGAGGGTGCAGAGCTGCACTGTTCACAACTACTGCAGTTTGATCCCTTGGGTTTGTGGAGTGTTTTGTTTGGAGTAAATATTTTTGGAGGTTAAGACATCAGAGCCCAAATGTGACTCTCTGCCTGGAAGTAATATCTGCCTTTGGCATGAGCACACGACAAGGAGCTTTCCCAAGGCGAGCACAAGTGACAGACAGTCACCCCAGTGGCATTTCCACAGCCAAGGCACAGCAATCACACAGGTTCCCAATCCTTGGCTTTGGTTTGGCTCACAGATGGAATTGCAAAGAGGGTGTTTCTCATTTAAGGGTCTTTCTCTCGTTTCTTCCTATGAAGAAGATCCAATGTGCTGGAGAGAAGCAGAGAGGGACCTGGGACAAGGGCCTGAAGTGCAGGGTTTCCTCTCATGCTAAGGGTGTGGTGGCAGCTTCCAAGTGCAGTCTGCAGTTTTTACCTTGTTCTGAGGGTAATCTTGAAGAAGAAATGTAGGTTCTACCTGTGCTTGCCCTGCCACCTGTGTGTATGGGGATGCCTGGTAGTGACACTGCTGTATCAGCTCTGTCTTTTCTTAGAAGTTTTTCTCCTGGTCCTGCTTTTCTTTGCAAAAAAAATCACCAGAACCATTAGTGATAGCAATGAGAGAATCATAGAATATCCTGAGCTGGAAGGGACCCACAGGATCATCAGTGCAGCCCCTGGCCCTGCCCAGATCCCCCACCAACCCCACCCTGGCCATCCCTGCAGCGCTGCCCAAATTTCTCCCCCATCCTTCATCTCCCCCATCCCTCACTCTCACACAATCATGGAATGTGCTGAGCTGGAAGGGACCCACAGGGATGATCAATCCCAAAGCCAAACCCTGCCCAGAGCCCCCAGCAAGCCCAGCCTGGGCATCCCTGGAGCTGTGGCAGCCTCGGGGCCGTGCCCATTGCCTGGGCAGCCTGGGCAGTGCCAGCACCCTGTGGGGGAAGAGCCTTGCCCTGATCTCCAGCCTGAGCTGCCCTGGCCCAGCTCCAGCTGTTCCCTAGAGAAGCTGCAGTTCTAGTGCTGTGTGTGTCTCCATACAGTGGTTGAATCCCTGCAGGCTTTAGAATTAATCTCAAATAAGTTCCATGTCCAAACACTATTTTTAGAGGCCTGCAGCTGTGTCAGAAATTCTCTGCTCCCACTGGGGTTGTGCAGTGTGGATCTGGGCTGTGGGCTGAGCTGCTGCAGGGAGCAGGATGGCCTGGCTTGGTATGGAGGGAGTGGAAAGTGGGAAGATTAAAACCATGACAACTTTTAATAGTGATGGATTGAAACCAGCTGAGGGGAGTTTGTTTGGTTTTTTTTTTAATAAAATTATCAAGCACAGCTGATCCTGTTCAGGCTGCTGGCTCAGGGCCTGGGGCTGACACTGACACTGCTCACCCTTACTGTCACCTGGGTGTCCCCTGTGTTCTGGGGACAAGAAGGGCCACCCCAGTCTGAGATGGGCCAGATCAGCCACCAGAGTTAAGGAGTTAAGACATTTCCAGGCCAGGAGTGCCCAGCTTTGCTTTGCCTGGGTGTTTACTCCACATTATTCATACAAAGAGTTTCATTGACAGAACCAAGTATAAAATCATACCTTCAATTAAAGCAAAAGAATTTTGATTTTGTGAGAGCATCTTTGCAGTAACTCACTGAATTTCTTCATTCACCCAGTGTGAGTCTGTGGCTGAAATGAAAATATGTGCCAGTGGATGGAGCTGAGTACTCTGTGGCATGGAGAGTGCTGTCAGTCTGCAAATAGCAATATTCAGCCAGTGTGGCAATGAAACTGTATTTTTTCTGTTCATTTTCCCCATTTTTAACAGTGTACTAGTCATCTGCATGGGAGGTGGTGAGAAAGCAGCATTCCTTGTATTTATTTGAAGCTTGTAGATTATGAAGGCTCCTCTGTGCACAAGGCAGCACTGAAGCAATGTGTGCTGACCTTGCTGCCTCAGTTTTCAGAGGTGTGGTGTGTGCTGCAGTAGCTAAAATGGCTCTTAATGTAGCTTTTGTTTTGAAAATAGACTGATTAAGAACTTGCCTGACTCGGGGAAGCAGTGGCTGACTTTAATTGTGCTGCCACCACTGCTCTTGAAATGCCTTGAAAACAGTGGTCTCCCGGGAGCTGTTTGGATGAATACAAGTGAATGTCATGCTGCAAGGTTCCTCTCCCAGCTGCTCAGTTTAAATGGCAAAAGTCATGATTTGCTCAGATCACAGGAGCTTTTAATTCCTCATTTAATAACAGGTTTCCCTGGGTGGCATATTGCTTTTACCCTTCTTGCTGTATTCCTACCCTTCCCTTACCCTACCCTTCCTGAGGAAGGGGCAGGCAAGGATGAAATGCATTTCCCCTGGCAGTAACATCAGTGGAAGGGGGCTTGAGGTTGGGTGTGAGGTATTGAGCTCAGTAAATCCCTGTTTGGAGGATCCCTGCTCCCATCCTGTGGATTTCAGGAAGTTAATTTTTGTCCTGTCCACTTATTGCTGGGCTGATCCCTGAGATGAGCTGTGTCTGTGCTGGACCAGGGGGACCATCCAATCACCACAAAGCAGATTCCTGTTCTAAATCCACAATTTACAATCATGGCATCACAGAATGGCTTGGATTGGAAATAACCTTAAAGATAATCTCATTCCAGCCCCCAAGCTGTGCAGCTCACAGCCCACAGTGACTGTTTGCAGTCCCCAGACTGAGTGATGTGTTTAATGAATGGTTTTGAAGGGACAGTTGTCTGGAGGACTCAGCAGATTCCCATCTGTGCTGGGTGGTTTCCATTAAGTTGCAGGTTGTTATCCTGGCTCTGTGCAGCCCCTTCTCAGCAGCACCGAGGCAGGAGGATGCCCAAGGCAGAGCTGTGCTTTGTTCTGCCTGTCAGTTGTAGTTGTAAATCTTCTGTGCTCACAAACACCAGAGGTTCTTGGTGAAAACACGTTGCCTGTGAGCACCTCCTCTGTGAGAAGTGCAGAACTGCTAGCTCAGGAGTCTGGCCAGTATTTTACTGAGAATTTTGCTCATCTGTTCCTATTTGAATCCTTTTGTTTTTAATTCTCAGGTCACTTCACATGGGAGAAGTACCTGAAAGAAACATGTGCCATCCCAGCTCCTGCCCATTGCTTCAAGCAGGTAAGAGGGTGAAAACAAGAAAAGTCAAGGGCTGTGGTCCACTGAGGGCCCTGGAATTCTGTGCCTGGGATAGACCCCTGGTTTGGCAAGGAAGATACTTAAGGATGTTGGGGACTTAACAGAAATCCAAGTGCTGAAGCAAAGATTAAAAAGATGCATTTAGAGTAGCACAGATTTTCCTTTCAGATGTGCATGTTGGGAACACAAGTGTGCTATTAACTCTGTCAAGCCCATGGAGAAAGTGTCCAGAGTAGGTTGGAATCCAGCTTTTGGTGGATCCTGCTCAATCAGTAGATTTTCAGCAGAATTCACCCAGTTGTTGTGAATTGTTGCGAGAATAGCAGCCCCTGGGTTGCAGGTACAGGAGTGAATCAGTGTGGGACATCTGGGTCTGGGCAGAGGGGAGAGTGAATGTCTGTGTGGGTCTGGGGTTGGCTGGGTGATCTTCCCAGGAGAGGGTTAATCCCCTGGGCACTGGTGGGGCTGCATCTCAGATCCTGGCATCAGTTTTGGGCCCCTCACAAGGTGGCTGGAGTATGTGCAGAGAAGGGAACGGAGCTGGGGAAGGGGCTGGAGCCCCAGGAGGGGCTGAGGGAGCTGGGCAGGGGCTCAGCCTGGAGAAAAGGAGGCTCAGGGGGGCCCTTGTGGCTCTGCACAACTCCCTGACAAGAGGATGGAGCCTGCTGGGGTCAGGCTCTGCTCCCAGGGAACAAGGGATAGGATAAGAGGAAACACCTTCAACTTGTGCCAGGGGAGGGCCAGGTTGCATATCAGGAAAATTTCTCCACTGAAAGGGTGATCAGGCCAAGGAAATGTCTGTCCAGGGCACTGGTGGGGTCCCCATCCCTGCAGGTGTTCAAGACATGTAGTTGTGGTGCTTAGGGGTACTGGGTAAGTGGTGGGCTTGGCAGTACTGAAGCTGATGATGTTAAAGGTGTTTTGCAGCATTAATGATTCTGTGATTCTAAGAGAACTGACTAGTTGCCTGGATGATGCAGGATGGAAGGATGGGGGTCTGTTACAGACCTGCCAGGGCTGGCTGAGTTCCCTGTGGTGCCTCTGCTGTGCCTGGAGGGGCTGTCAGCCTTCAGCAGACCCCTTTGGGTGCTCCTGCTGCTGGAAGCTTTGTGCCTGAGCTGGTGCATGAATGCGTTGGCAATCCTGGCTCTGACTGGCCCTTGTTGCTGTTGGTTTGGAGGGTTCCCAGGGAGCCCCCTAAGCTGTATGTTCACTGGTAGCAGCGGGCAGCAAGGAGATGTTTTGCAGAGTTAATCAAAACTCCACAATTTTTGTGAAAGTTGTAAAGCCGGTATGTTTATTACAGCGCTGGACACATGTGGGAATCGTTCCCCTAAAATGACATGTGTACTTCTGGGAACTTCAGGTTCCTTTTTATCCCCCTTTCAGATACATATGCATACAATTTCACAATAGGTTCATACTCATTTTTATGAATTTTGTGTGACATTTGCCGCTAGTTCTTGTTTATCAGAAAGAATTCCTAGGTTAGGTTGACCTGCTCTCACAGCAGTCTCTGTCTCTCTCTGTCACCTTCTGTCTCCCCCCCTTATCTCTGTCCTTCACTGAAGCAGTTTCCCTGAGCCTGGGCTTTTGCAGTCAGGCTAAATAGCTATGTTTTCTAACCACAGACTCAACTCAAAAATGTACATTTCACCTAAATCAAAATGGATTTCTACCCTGGAAAATTTCTATCCACATGGCTTCTGAGGGTGCTAATTAGATGAGGGTTTATTGGGGGTCTCACCTCTGGAGCAGCATGGTTTGAGGGAGAAGGGGGAGAGAGGGAGAGCCTGTGGGGACAGATGGGCCAAGAGAGATTCTGTGGCTTAATAGGGAGATTCAAAGTGGGTGCAGAATAATCCTTGGGCCAATGGGATTTACAGCTCCCTGATCCTGCAGGGGAGGATCACAGGCTTGGAACAAACCCTACATTTTCCAGGAGTGACGCAGAGCAAACCATTGAACTAAAACATAACACACAGCTCTTGTTTCCCTCTTTTCAGTCCTACACTCCACCTGCAAACGAGTTCAAGATCAGTATGAAGCTGGAGGCCCAGGACCCCAGGAACACCACGTCCACGTGCATCGCCACCGTGGTGGGGCTGACGG